TCCCTCCCTAACCTTATGGGAAGTAAGATTTTGGTTACTTTAAAATTTTTCTTTTTTGCACTTTTCTGTGTTGCTTGACTGTGTTTAATTAGTAGGTATTACAAATATAAAGCAATAAAGCTATTAATTTTTTTTTTTTTTTTTGAGACAGAGTCTCACTCTCTAGCCCAGGCTGGAGTACAGTGGTGCGATCTCTGCTCACTGCAAGCGCCGCCTCCCAGGTTCATGCCATTCTTCTGCCTCAGCCTCCCGAGCAGCTGGGACTACAGGTGCCTACCATCACATCCAGCTAATTTTTTGTATTTTTAGTGAAGATGGAGTTTCACCGTGTTAGCCAGGATAGTCTCAATCTCCTGACCTCGTGATCCGCCCATCTTCAGCCTCCCAAAGTGCTGGGATTACAGGTGTGAGCCACCATTCCTGGAAAAGATATTAATTTTTTTTTTTTTTTTTTTTTGAGGCAGAGTCTTGCTCTATCACCCAGGCTGGAGTGCGGTGGCACGATCTCAGCTCATGGCAACCTCCACCTCCTGAGTGTTCAAGCAATTCTCCTGCCTCAGCCTCCTGAGTAGCTGGGATTACAGGCACCCACCACCATGCCCAGATAATTTTTGTATTTTCAGTAGAGATGGCGTTTCACCATGTTGACCAGGGTGGTCTCAAACTCCTGATCTCAGGTGATCGGCCAATCTTGGCCTCCCAATGTGCTGGGATTACAGGCATGAGCCACCTTGCCCAGCCAAAGCTATTAATGTTATGGAGGTTTTTTAATGGCTAGCTATACTTCAGAGTCCAGAAAGCGTCCTAAGCCCCTGCCAGCAAGGACGCCTATCTCTTCCAAGCCCTCAAAGCTTTTCATTTTCCCTCTCTCATGTCCCTGAGCACCATCCATCTGCAGATATAGGTGCTTTGTCTAGGTCATAGCTCCTTCCTGACCAGAGAGTGTGCTGAGAACCAAAGTGGGGGATTTGTCTCCATTGCCCACACTCCCATAACCACAATCCCATAACCCTTTCAAAAACACTACAACTATAACCACCCACCAATATCATTACCACCTGCTCTGCCCCATTACCACAACCATTACCACCCTCCACCATCACTACACTCATCATCATCAAGGCCACAATCACCATGGTCACCACCATCATCACTACCGTCATTCCCCCTATGATGGGCCAAAAAATTATTCCCTTAAAGATATCCACACTCGAATCCCTAGAATCTGTATATTTGTTACCTTACATGGCAAAAGGGACTTTACAGATATGATTAAGGGTACAGACCTTGAGATGGGGGGATTATCCTGGGTTTCCGGAGTGGGTACAATTTAACCACAAGTCTATGAAAGCAGAAAACCTTCCCTGTCTGTGGTCAAAGACAGAGATGGACAGTGGGGGAAGGGTCAGACAGATATGACATCACTGGCTTTGCAACCTCGCTGGAAGAAGAAGGCCATGGGCCAAAGAATGGGTGTGGCCTCTACAAGTTGGAACACGAAAGGAAGTCGACTCTCCCTAAGAGCCCCCAGAGAGGAAGTAAGCCTGCTGACACCTTGATTTTAGCCTAGTGAACCCTATGTTGGATTTCTGCTCTACAAAACTGTAAGATAATAAATCTGTGTTGTTTTAAGGCACTAAATTTATGATAACTTGTTACAGCAGCAATAAAAAGCTAATACAACTTCCATCAACAATACCATCATCAATACCACCACAACCACAGCTACGCGTCGACACCACCACTACATCCATCACCGCTACCAGCAAAACCTACCATCATCATAAGCAATGATATCACAATCACTGTCGCCATAGCCCCATCAACAGCAACACGTTTACTCCCAAAACATCCATCAGCACTATTCTTATTCCAATCACCATCACAGATAACACTCACCACCACCACTATCTACATCATCAGCTCTGTCACTGATACACCGATCAACAACACCACCACAATCACCACTACCCATCAATACCACCCAACAACAAAAACACTCACCTACCACCACCACCACCCACCATCAATACCACCACCCACTACCACCACTACACACATCACCAACACCCATCAGTACAACCCACCACCAACAAAAGCACCCCCTACCAGCAGCACCAACACAACCTACCTACCACAACCATCACCACCACCAATGCACCCCCTCCACTTCCACCATCACCACGACTGAACATGCACACCATGAATGACTGGTTGGTTACATGAATGAATGAATATGTGTCTGAATGAATAAGTAAAGAAACAAAGAAAAAGACAACCTCAGAGTGTCTATGAAAGAAAGTCCACTCCACCATTTGGTGACTTGTGCTGGGTAATATAGATGGATTTGTTTGTCTGAACTTCATCTTTTGAGCACTCTTTCCTTCTTTTTGACATACCCCCATCTGCTGCCTTCTGCAGCCACTGCCCAGCACCCCCAAAAGCACAGTCATGGAGCAGCCTCCTCTAAGACCATGCCCAAAGGACTGGCCAGCCTTTGAGAGAGAGGAGCTGAAAGTCTGGGTTCCTGGTGATTGAAGCGGTAGTGAGCAGCCAGCTGCGGCTGAGCTAGCTCCTGGGCAATGAAATGGGACAGTCCAAGTGGCCCTGAAACAGCCTAGGTAGGGAAAGAGAAGGGAGAAACTGTACCATCCCACCCCAAATTATGGAGATGTTTCTGGGGACTTGGCTGTTCTCGCTGCCTAAGAAACATGTGCTCTTCCCTCCCTGCCACTCAGCATGCAGCCTGGTGCTCTGGGGTCCATGACTGGGCCAGCAGATCCAAGTTCTACCTTCTAACTCCTGCCCTGATGATGGCTCTCTGAGTCTGTCTCCCTATCTGAGCAATGAGGAACTCAAGAAAGACATGCCTGGTACCCCTCCAGCTCTGACAGTCAGTAATTTCACATTTCTACCAAGAAGATTTCTTAAATCAATAGGTGAAGTTAGTCTCCTCGGGTGGACAATTCCTCTCTGACCGCATCCTTGATGGCTGACATGATCCCAAAGTAGTGGTTAGGGATGAACATCCAAGAAGGGATGGAACCCTTTATCTGTAGGTCCCACGGGCTCAGGCAGTCAGGAATGTTAGAGCTAGGAGAACTTTAGGGACCAGCTGACCCAAGCTCGGGAGTAAAAACCTCCTCAAGACCCCCAGCCAGACAGCACAAGACTCCAGACCAGGGCCAGATGTTCCTGCCCATCTGAGCTCTTTGTGCTGCCTCAGGAAACCCAGTGGACCTCAGCACTGTTCTGAGAGTCCCACCTCATATTCACAGAGCTGCTGCAACCCATGCACTACCTGGAAAGCTGAAGCCCTGGGCTCCAGTGACGAAGCCTCAGGCCACATCATCCTATGGGCCCCACAGAACGTGGAGCCGGCAACAGCTGCACCTGCCTTTGAAGCATTTCCCAGGGGCCCTGAGGAGGAAGGAGGCAGGCAGTTGTAGAGAGGGCTCCATAACTGTAGTCTCCCTCGTCTCTGCTTCCCATGTCTCTCATGCACTGTCTGGTGGTCTCTTTCTGACTCTCTTTTGATCTCTTTGCTGGACTTTGATCATTTTTTATCTCTATCTCTTTCTGGCCCTGTGTCTCTTTCTTTGTCCCTGTCTCATTCTTTGTTTCTCTCTCTCCTCCTTCTCTCCTTTTTTTTCTTTCTCCCCTCCCTCTCTCTCCCCTCCGTCACTCCCTCCATCAGTGATTTTGCTCTCGGAATTTCAAAGATAAGTGCCGATTTCAAGGTCATATTAATCTAGTTCTAGGGAAATCCCTATTCATGAGAGAAAATATCCAGGAATTACAACAGTACTCATAAAACCCCACAGCCTGGTGAAGACGGACGAGCCCAGGGAATGAGAGCCCTGAGTTTCTTTCCCAGCCCTGCCCTGATTTGCTGGGTGGTCTTGGGAAGCCTTCTTGGGGCTTAAGCTTCTGCATCTATAAAATGAGTGGGCTGGAACACATTGATCTCAAGCACCAGCTCCAGCTCTCTAGAACTGGAAGGATCCAGATGCTCAGGCTCCACAGCTCAGCCAGTGGGAATCCTATCTGCGGGCACCATCGACCACTGGCTTTTGGGGATACTTGCTGGGAATATCGCCAAAGCTCCCTGTGCCAGCAGGTGTCTGTGTGCTCAGTGACTAGCATCTTGCACTAATCCTTGCTTCTTCCTGCTCCTTTGTTTAAATGTGGAACATACGTTGGAGTTGGCAGCAGATGAACCCAGCTGCCCTTCAAGAGGATCTATCTATGGTGGGTAGATTAAAGGAGGCCTCTCAAGTAGCCCTGCTGGGCAGGGAGACAAAAGCCAGAAATCCATAAAGAAGCCATTCCCTTAGTCACCAAATGTATACTGAGCAGCACCGATGTGCTGACCACCTGGCTGCATCAGACACTGCCCCTGCCTTTATCATGAGATGAAGAAGAAAGAAAACGATCTTTCTCTGCAGAGTGAATAACATTCTGCGGGAATGCACAAGTAACAGCATTTTTATTTGAATGAAGAGATCAAGAAAAGTTTTTCCAGAAAGTAACAGTTGATCTGAGGCTCAGTGGGTGACAACATAGAATGTCACTGGACACAGAAGAGAGGGGAGGGCACACTCCATGCACAGAGATGGAATCAGCAAAGGAATCGGGGCCCCATCTCTTCAGGAGCAGCTGAGTAGAGCAGTTAGGTTGAGACCAGACTGTAGCGGGGTGTGGGATGCTTGAAAAGGAGGTTAAGGAGATAACCTTGATGCTGGGGCTTTAGAAAGCCACTGAAGGTTTTTCAGCAGGGGAGTGACAAGCTCAGATTTAAGCTTTAGAAAGATCCCTGGGATTGTCAGTGTGGGGCTGAGATGGAATAGGAGAGGCAGGAGGCAGAGACTTTCTGCAAGACCAAGAGAACACAGAGGCAGAAGCTATGCCAACAATCAGAATACATTTGTACATCAACACACATACCCTAGGCTATAGGGTAGGGGAAGAAGCCAAGGGGAGTGAGTCAGAGATACGAAATGAGGTCTGAGAAGGAGTTGGCAAAGGAGAAACTCACCTTAGAAGACAAATCTGTCAAGGTAGGAAGAGAGCAAAAAAGGGATGTCTATAATTGAAAGTGACCGCAAGTGATAAATCGCCACATATCAGAGGTGGCAGGGGCCTTCAAGACTGAGAAATTCTTCATCTCCACTGTGTGGATGGGGAAATCAAGGTCCAAAAACCATAAAGAACTTGCTGGATCCCCTGGCAAAGCCCATGGCAAGCCTAGGCTACAATCAAGAGCTCCCACCTCCACATTCTACAGTTTGCTCCCTCTCCCACATTTTGCCAGGTTCGTGTGTGGCCCCAACTTGCCAGGAAAAAGAACCAGAGTTGTAGGAACCATAGGAAGGTGCCTGGATCCTAGCTCCTCTGACAGCCAAATCTAAAGGCCAGGGATCAGAGGCAGGTGGGCCACGGTCGTATCAGGGACTGTTCCGCCACTCAGAGTCCAGTGAGCACACAGCTAGGACAGGGGCCCTGAGGGTGGAAAGAAAAGAGGGAGAAGGGGGCATTGTGAAATAAAAGTTAGCAGGATCAGGTGACTGATGCTCCAGGGTGAAAGAAAGCAAGAGCCTGGGCATGGACAAGCTCTGGCGATGTGGGACACTTGTGGGATGATATTGTCATTAGTGAACAAGGCCTGGTCGGAGGTGACCCCAAAGTGAGGGCACTAGCAGGATGAAGGGGGCAAAAGACAGAAGGATCTAGCCTGGAGTGAAATTATGAGCTTAGCTTGGACAGGTTGAGTTTGAAATGATAGTGGGGCACCAATGGTGAATATTTTTCAGCACTTACTCTATCGTGTACATTGGACACAGGGTATTTATGATATCTCCTTTAGCCTCACAAGAGCTCCTTTGGAAGACACTATTGTTATCCTTATTGGATAGATGAGGAAACAAAGGAACAGAGCTATAAATAAATTTGTTCAAGGTTCCCAGCTTGTAAATTTCCAAGCCAGGCTGGAAACTCAGGTCTGCCTCACTGTTTTGCCTTCCATCACTAAGGAGCCAAAGAGAGGAGGTCATTGAAGAAGTCAAACCAGGTGAACACTGGAAAGTAGAGAGGAGAGAGAGAAAAGTGAGAGTATGGCAAACCCTGAGCAAGATGAAGAATCCAGTGTGGAGTCAGAGAGGGGCAGACAGAGGTGGAGGGAGAATCAATAGAGTCTTTGTTACAGGAGCCAAAGTTGGAGAAAGTGTTCAAGCCAATGTCGAGGTAAGTCTTGAAGTCAATCCAAAGTGTCTTATGTGGTGAAGATATAGTGACCACCATGAACACAGAAGAACCTTGGGGGATGAGGAATCCCCGTGTTTCAGGTGCCCAGGCTGCCTGGAAGACTTAGAAGGTGCAGTTAGAGTTCAGAAGAGAGTCTCATTGGAGCAGGATTAAAACAACCAATTCTGACCAGGCGCAGTGGCTCATGCCTGTAATCTCAGCACTTTGAGAGGCCAAGGCGGGTGGATCACTTGAGGTCAGGAGTTCAAGATCAGCCTGGCCAACATGGTGAAACCCCATCTCTACAAAAATTAGCCACGCACACCTAATGGGAGCTACTTGGCAGGCTGAGGCACAAGAATTGCTTGAACCCGGGAGGTGGAGGTTGCAGTGAGCTGAGATCACACCACTGCACTCCAGCCTGGGTGACAGAGCAAGACTCCATCTAAAGAGAGAGAGAGAGAGAGGAGAGAGAGAGAGGAAGGAAGGAAGGAAGGAAGGAAGGAAGGAAGGAAGGAAGGAAGGAAGGAAGGAAGGAAGGAAGGAAGGAAAGAGAGAGAGAGAAAAGAAAGGTCAATCCTGTGAGGACATATCAGCAAACACACCCTGGAAAGAAAAACAGACAAACTGGACTTCAGCAATCTTAAAAATGTTTGTGCTTCAAAGGACACTATTAAGAAAATTAAAAAGCCATCAAATGGGAAAAAAAAAATGTTTTGCAAATCAGGGCTATAGTGGTTCGTAACATTTAAGAAACTTAGAAACTAAACAATAAAAAACAAATACCCCAGTTACAAAGTGGACAAAGGATGTGAAGAAACAGACATTTCTCCAAAGAAGATATATAAATTGCCAATAAGCACATAAAAATTACTCAATGTTATTAGTCATTAGAAAATTGCAGGTTGGGTACAGTGGCTCACATCTGTAATCCCAGAACTTTGGGAGGCCAAGGCAGGAGGATCTCTTGAGCTCAGGAGTTTGAGACCAGCCTGGGCAGCATAGTGAAACCCTGTCTTTACAAAAATAAAAATAAAAATTTAATTATCCAGGCATGGTGGCACACACCTATAGTCCCAGTTACTTGGGAGGCTGAGGCAGGAGGATTGCTGGAGCCCAGGTGTTTTAGGCTGCAGTTAGCCATGATTGTGCCACTGCACTCCAGCCTGAGTGACAGAGTAAGCCCCTATCTTCAAAAAAAACAAAGAAAAAAAAAACAGAAAAAAAATGCAAATCAAAACCATAATGATATATTACTTCACACCCACTAGGATGGTTATAATCAGAAAGACTATAACAAGTGTTGCTGAGGACACAGAAAAAGTGAAACTCTTATATATTGCTGGTGAAAATGTAAAATAGTGTAGCCACTTTAGAAAACAGTTTGGCAGATCCCCAAAAAGTTAATTATAGAGTTACCATATGACCCAGATTTTTTTTTTTTAAAGACAGAGTCTCACCCTGTTGCCCAGACTGGATTGCAATGGCACTGTCTCAGCTCACCGCACTCTCCGCCTCCTGGGTTCAAATGATTCTCCTGCCTCAGCCTCCCAAGTAGCTAGGATTACAGGCACCTGCCACCACGCCCAGCTAATTTTTGTACTTTCAGTAGAGACAGGGTTTCACCATGTTGGCCAATTGGTCTTCAACTCCTGACCTCATGATCTGCCTGCCTTGGCCTACCAAAGTACTAAGATTACAGGTGTGAGCCACCGTGCCCAATCCTGACCCAGACATTTTATTCCTAGGTGTATACGCAAGAAAAGTGAAAACACATGCTCAAATAAAAACATTTACCCTAATGTTCATAGCAACATTATTAATAACAGCCAAGAAGTAGAAAGAATCTAAATGTATATCAACTGATGAATGGATAAACAAAATATGGTATATCCATACAATGCAATATTATTTGGCCATAAAAAGAAATGAAGCACTAACATATGCTATTTTTACAGACGAACCTTGAAAATATTATGCTACATGAAAGAAACCCAATAAAAAAGGCATCATATTATATAATTCCATTCACATGAAATGTCCAAAATAGGCAAGTCCACAGAGACAGAAATAAAATGGAGACAGCAACTGAATTAGTGGCCAGGCACAGTGGCTCAAGCCTATAATCTCAGTGCTTTGAGAGGCTGAGGCAGGCAGATCATTTGAGGTCAGGAGTTCGAGACCAGTCTGACCAACATGGCAAAACCCCATCTCTACAAAAAATACAAAAATTAGCCGGGCATGGTGGTGTGTGCCTGTAATCCCAGCTACTCGGGAGGCTGAGGCAGGAGAATCGCTTGAACCTAGGAAGTAGAGGTTGCAGTGAGCCGAGATCATACCACTGTAGTCCAGCCTGGGTGACAGAGTGAGACTCTGTCTCAAAAAAAAAAAAAAAAAAAAGAAAAAGAAAAAAGAAGTGAAATTAATTTGTTGCTAGGGGCTGGAGAGACAGAGGAATGGGTAGTGACTGCTTAAAAGGTATGGTGTTTCCTTTTGAGGCGATGGACATGTTCTGGAATTAAATAGTGGTGATAGTTGCACAGCCCTGTGAGCATATTCAAAACCACTGAATTGTATACTTTATATGGTGAATTTTATGGCATGTCAATTATATCTCAAGAAAAGAGAGACAGAGAGCAGGTAGAAGTTTCCCAAGAAAATCTTGAGTGGTTGTTTAATCCCTCAGGGAACATCAGAGAAGCCATTTAGGCTACCCAAAAGAAAAAAAAAAAAACACATTTTATTCGACTGTTAAATTCTTTTGAACTTATTACTCCGAGGGCTAGCTTATGTTGCATTTTTTACTACCTTTTTATAAAGTTATATATTAATAACACCTGGATTTATAGAGAAATACCCGAAAAGCTTGTTATCTGAAATGTAAACAGTGGCTGCCTCTGGGAGATAGTATCTTGTGTGATTTTAAATTTATTCTTTATGCTTTTATGTATCACTTACATTTTCTTTATGCATATTTATCAACTTTATAATCAATAAAATCCATAAAGCTCCTTTTGTTTTTGGGAAAAAAATATATATATATATTAAATTGGATATGTTGAAAAAATGTTAATAGATAACTTTTAAAATTCTTTCAACTTACATGAAACCAATGTCATTTTGGTAGTTGCTCCCAAGATGGAAAAACTGTCCAATTAGCCAAGTGATCACAATTCAGTTATTTTCTGAACACTGAACAAGGAGCTGTGTGTGAGAGAAGGACGTTTAGGGCATGGTTCCTGCATTCAAGGGTCTTTTGATGTAGTAAAGGACCTCAGATGTGTAAATAAATAACTGAAAGCAAGGCAGAACATGAAAGTCTAGAACAGAGGCACCCGTAAGATGCTGCAGAATCCCTGAGGATGCTATGATTCTCCACTGAAGGATTCAAAACGGCAGGTCCACGGCAGAGCTTGCCTTGAGGCTGAGTCGGATTTCACTGTGTGGATGGCAGGAGGGACAGGCAACAGCCAAGGCCAAAGGTGAAGCATTTTCAAGCCCACCCACCCTCCCTGTCCCTGTCCACCTCACACTCCATGCCCTAACCTTCCGGAGCTGCTGATTCTCCTGGGCACAGGCCTGGGTCTTGTACCTTCACCTTGCTGCTCACCTGGAATGTGCATTCCTCCTTCATCACCTAGTTCACTCCTGCTGTTCCCTCCAAGACTGGGGTCCCTGTCACTCTTTCAGGAAGCCTCCTTGACTGAACAAGTGGAGTTCAAAGCCTCCCGCCCAGGTTCTGACAGCATGCTGAGTCTCCAGCACTGGTGCACTTTACCCCCTGCACTTGAGATTATCTGTTTGGGTATTTGTTTCC